GCAAGATACCCAGAATGTAGACTACAAAGGCATTTATTAAATGTACATTTTCAAGGATGTGTTTGTGTTCTTTCAGGCTGTCAGGATCCTGAACGTGGGACAGAAAAGGCGAATCTACGACATCACCAATGTGCTGGAGGGCGCTGGTCTGATCGTGAAAATTTCCAAGAGCATGATCAAGTGGTTGTAAGTTTGTAATTCTCCGTTTGTGCACATGTGTCAAAAGAGAAAAACACGTTTTATATTCTAATACATACGTGTGCTTTTTTCTAAACGAGGGGCACAAATCAAGGTGAAAGTGCGCACGATTTAACCAAGAGGATGATCAAGCTGAAGTCTCAGCTGGAGGACTTGGAGCACCAGGAGTTCATCCTGGACCAGCACAAGCTCTGGGTCGAACAGAGCATCAGGAACACGACAGAAGACTGCAGCAAATATCCTTTAAATCTTTAAACTGTTGGTTTTCAACATGTGTCAGTTGTACTTTGCAAAGAGTGTAGAAATGTGTGTGTTTGTTTTCCACTGAGAACGTTTAATGTGGTTTCGTGACGCACAGACTGCATCTGTGAAGGCGGCTGATTGTGAACCGCATTCGGCGATCCGTAATGTTCCTCCTCTAAGCAGCGCAGCGTTTTAAGTCGTACCTTAACTCAAAGCCACTCTGACCTACGTGAATCACGAGGACATCTGCAGCTGCTTCACTGGTGATGTATAATCACTCTCCTGCCTTTTAACGATGACTCTTCTGTACATTTTGCTGTCAGCGTATTTTTGATGCGATTGAAAGTCCAAATAAAAAGGCAGCAAGCCAAAGCCGCTGCCATCTGCTTTATGTGCAGATACATTTTTATTCCTCGGAGGAAACCTTTGATTCAGTGGAGACGCATTTGCTTTTTGATGAACATAAAAGCAAAAAAAGTTTCTTCTCTCCCTCATCTGTGCTGCGACTGAATCATGAATGACTTATGTGTCTGCGAGAAAAAAAATCTGATTTGTGATTAAAAGCCAGCAGCGTAAAACTTGTTAAAATGTAGATTTACACCAAAACAAGGGAAGCTATAGGAACTGGATCGACTTTTTCCAGACGCAGTACTTTGAAATGTGTTGCAGCTGAATTTTGATGGCTAAGCTGTAAAGTTATCAGTACGAGCTCAGAATCGGCCGACACTTTGCAGATTCAGTATATTTTCCGAGTTTAACGATCCGCAAAGGAGCCTGACGGATATCACAGTTCAGTTTGTTCAGTAAAGAGGCAAAAAGAACATTTGTTTTACCTTGAAATGCATAAAGGTGAATTTAAATGAACTTCTGACTGTCTGCTTTCTCATCAGGTCACACACTCCTGGTCGTACGAGCACCATCTGGCACTCAGCTCGACGTTCCCATTCCCAAAGCTGTGAGTTCTGTATCATTAGTGCCTACTGTCTTTCCTCGCTGCCTTTTTATTCAGGGGATGATTTATTGTGTGCATACATTTCCTTTCAGGTCCAGGACAGCCCAGCGAAGTACCAGATCCATCTGAAAAGCGTCAAAGGACCCATAGATGTGGTTCTTCTTAACAAACACTCCGTCAGCTCTGTTCCTGTCGTGCTGCCGGTCCCGCCGCCCGAGGAGATTCTACAGAGGGCCAAGTTAGCCATGTCTGCTTCAAACGAGAGAGACAGCGGCGCTGAACCTTGTCAGGCTTCGGCTGACACCAAACACGGATCAAAATGTACGGCGGCGGAGGACACGAAGCCTCTTCAGTCCCCGTCGTGTGTAAACGCTGAACCCGACAGAACCGATCAATCTGAATGTGAGTCTTTTATGTGTTTTATTTTTTATTTTTTTGCTGAAAGAGAAAACTTCATTTTTGCAAAGTCGACCTCTCGCCACATCGATCCAAAGTCTAGATTTGAAAAGACTAAAACTACCTTCAGAAAGTAGCACCGAAGATTTTTAGACTCCTTTCAGTGGAAAAAGGCAAAGAAGTGCTTGTTGTTATAATCAGGTATTCTGTGATAGAAAAACTGACTGAGCAAGTGATTCACTGAATCTAAACGTGGATTTAATGTAAGTTAAATAACCAGTTTTTCCCTTCTAACGCTGGTCAGATCAATACGTGATTAACATGACTATTAAATCACGAACTGAAACGAGGAGGAAACGATACGGACGAAGCCTTTATGAGCTGTACATCCGTCTCTCTGTGCTTTTCATTGCTTCCTTCATGCTTCACACAATAACGTCTTCATACCTCATGTGTACTTTTTTTTAAGCGCTCAAGGCTTTTACATTGATTTTTAAAAAAAAAAAACAAATCTTTTTCCAGTGAGAGGTTTGTCGAAGGAACTGCAGGACCTAATGGACCCGCCCAGAGGTACTGGCCTTCTTTTTGTGTCTTTGAATTATTTATAATGATTAAAATTATACATTCAGCTGATTTGACNGTCAGCTCATGATTACTGCACAGATGTGGAAATTAAGGGTCATTTAAAACAATTTCTAGATCTTGACAAGTTGTTTTGATCATAAAGTAAAATACTATACAGTTATATATATATGGTGAATAAATATTATGCCTTTGTAGACACACAGTGATCTGTAAGTTGTAAAGGACACGTGTAAATGATAAACTGAGGCACAATATTGTTGAAATGATACCTATTTTCCTCTCAGGATGTTCATAATGTTTTGTAAAAAGAATTCAGAATGCACTTTCTTGCACTAAAACAAAAGGAAATAATTTGAGTTGTCATTATTTATAGGTTATTATGCTATGATTTTACCAACATCGAAGCTTTGTTTCATCTTTTTTTCCCCACCAACTCAGTTCTTTTTCTTAAATGGTGCCATTGAAGAATATTTTAAGTCTTTTTTTCTTTCTTTTTTTTTTTTTAAACAGAGAGGCTTTTATTTTGATCGACGGGCTTTTATTGTGAAGGCAGGTATACAGTAAACGCGCCTTACGCACCGTGGGGGGAGGACTGTGTGAAGAGCTGGTCCTCTGCTCAGGACAATGGGCTTATAATTGAATTAGCCGGTGAAGGAACTTACCTGTCCGTTAAAACTTTACGGTTAACTCGTTAATAACTCGCCGGTTAGCCATGCTAACGTTAGCTTCATGCTATTTTTGCTAGCCGAGTTAACAACAACAACAACAACAACAACTCAGTGCTAAACTTATCAGCGCGTATCGAGCAAGTAAGTTTTACCACACAGGTAGCTAAATAACTCTCTTTGTTTTAACGAGACTATTGTCTGTCTACGAATGAAAGGCTGAAGACTGAAGTGGTTCCGAGTCCAACCTGCGCCGGTGAGCCCCGAAAGGTGAGGATGAAAGTTCAGAACATTGTCGTCTGGTTAGAAAAAGTTAAAAGTTCTCATGAAACTACATGTTGGGGTTCATACAGGAGATGCTAATAAGGTTTCAGGGAGCTGTTTGCTCGTGAGGGGAGGCTTGATTGTTATTAATGAGTTGTGTCCTGCCCCAGCATGGATCCTGCAGCAGCCAGTCCTCACAGTGCGGACGAAGACCCTCCTGTGCTGCCAGACCAAACCCCCAAATACCACAGGAGCGAGAGGAGCCTTCATCTGCTCACCACCAAGTTCGTCAGCTT